CTGGACTCTGGCCTTAGAATCATCCCTTAAGGCACTTGGACCTGGCTAAAAAGCCCATGAGAGTTTCTCAGGCATGGAAAGCCAAGACACTGTGGCATAAAATGACCTAAATGAAAGATCTCTGTGAGTGAGATCCCAGTGGAAAGAAACAGGTCATCAAAGGAGGTATCTTTCTCTGAAGGGAGGAGAGAACTTCCACTTTGATTATGGCGTTGTCTAAATAAGGTCAGAGTCTGTGAACTCGAGGCTTCCATATTCTTGGCAGTTCATGACAAGAGCCTTGGGTGATTACTGACGTCATAAATAAGAGTGTCAATTGTTAAATCAACAAGAGGAGTCACTGTGTACTTACTCCCCATGTAGGACTGCTGTCCTTAATGTGTTGTACTATGTGAATTAACGGTAAAAATAATCTTTAAATAGTACTTTATACTTTGTGTGTCTGTGTGGGTGCAATCTGTTGAAATCTTTACTTGGTATATACTAAGTTGATCTTCTGTATATAAAGGTAATTAAAAATGAATCTTAATGAAGAATGGGATGCAAGAGGGAGTGGGGTATGGGATGGTCTGTGGGTGGGAGGGTGGTTATGAGGGGAAAAAACGCTATAATCCAAAAGTTGTACTTTTGAAATTTATATTTATTAAATAAAAAGTTTTCTAAAAGAAAAAAAAGGAGAAGCTGGGATATGAACTGGTGCTAATATGGGATGCTGGCACTGCAAGCAGAGGCTTAGCCCACTACACCACAGCACCAGCCCCTCTAATATTTTCTTATGATTTCTATTTAAAAATCTCAATTTCATGGGAAAATGTTTCATTCATATATTGTATTGATTTCTTTAATTTGTGGATTTTCTTCTCATTGTTTCTGAGTAATCCTATGGTTAATCTTTTGAATTCAGTTTCTAGCATTTCATCAATCTCTTCATCTTCACGTCCTAATATTGAAGTACTGTTGTGTTCCTTTGCGGGATGGGTGGTGCAGGGTATTAAACTGTCTTCTTGATTCTTGTTTCTTGAATTTCTGTGTTTATTTTTAGGCATTTGTGGAGATACTTGTTGGGTTTTTTCCTCTATGGTTTATATCTTTAAACTATGCCTTTGTGGTTTCGTGGATTGTCTGCTCTGTCAGTGAAATACTGAGGTGCATGCTGAGTGTGGTCGGGAGCTCGTCAGTACTCCAGGGTAAGGCGTGTAATTCAGGGTGACATCCAAGTATGGTGTGATAGACCTCCTCTTATTAAAGGAAGGACAGTTAAGGTCACCTCTGTTGGCATAATCACACTCTCACCTCTTCTCTTCCAAAGTGGTCAATGTCTGTGTGTTAGCCCTCAGTGGGTGTAATACTCTTCCACGCGTCCACATGAACTGCACAAAACATCTGCACACAGTGATTGCCCAAAGACTCAGCTACACCCTGTGTCCTCTTGTGCAGTCCCAATTCCTACAGTCTCAGCACACAGGGCTCCAACAGTCATGGGGTGCAGAGGGTCCATTCTGCTCCACTAGCCTGTCCCATTCACAGAGAGGCTGAGACATTCCCAGAGCCAGCTGCCTGTGAGTGCTGCATCCAGAGGGTTTGAGCCTCAGTCTGTGATATGTTGAGAGGCTTGGAGGAACCCACAGTCCTACGTGAATGCCCAGCCCCCTGTCAATCCTCCCAGTCAAACTCAGAGTCAGCGGGGAACACAGATTTTTCCCTCTGGTGAAATTCTTGTATCACACGTGTAGACAAGAGCCACCGGCCGCAGCCCCACAAGTTGCCAGGCACATACAAGAGCTGGTACTAATATCAGAGTGGCTCCTTCTCCTGCCTGCTATCAGGTGCACACACCCGAGCTGCTGCTCTGCTACTGCTGCAAAGACGACTCATTCCTGCTGGACACCCACACAAGAGGTGCTGCGGCTGCAACTTACGTCCAAAATGGTACCTGCCTTCTCTCAGCTGGTGGCCAGGTGCGTCTGTAGGAGGGTGGGGATGGGGAGAAATACGCCCCCCCTTTTTTTTTTAACTGTGTTAGCTCAGGGCTCCAGCCAGACTCAAAGACAGTGAAGTCTGCTTGGCTCTCCCTTCAGCTACATCATCAGCGGCACAGGCTGCTGTAGTCTGATCTCACCTTGCTCTCCAAAGCTGGCGCTTTCACTGGCTTTGGGCCGCTGGGGTCTTGTGTGATATCTATGGTCCTTGCTGCTGTACCTTCCACAGAGATCCACGGTGTTCCTCTATTCCTCCTCCTTCCTCTGAATCTCCACTGCAGTTTTCTCTCCAAATCTCCCCTGAGAATACGCTTTCTCCACTTTTTTTTTTTTCCCCTAACCTAGAGCAGTATACCCATACCATATTCTGCCATCTTGGAATCCCCCCTCAACATTCTTTTTAAAGATTGATTTATTTATTTGAAAGTCACAGTTACGGGGGCGGGGAGAGAGAAAGATTGGGAAGAGAACCAGAGAAAGGTTGTCCATCTACTGGTTCACCTCCTAAATGGCTGTAACAGCCAGAGCTGGGTTAGACCAAAGCCAGGAGACAGGAGCTTCTTCCGGGTCTACCAGGAAGGTGCAAAGGCCCAACCTCTTGGACAATTTCCACTGCTTTCCCAGGCATGTTAGCAGGGAGCTGGATTAGACCCAGAGCATCCAGGCCTTGAATCAGAGCCCATATGGGGGGTCAGCACTGCAGACAGTGGATTAACCCACTGTGCCACAGCCCCAGCCCACTCTTAACATTTTTAAAAAAATTACTCAAGGTTGTTACTGATAGGTAAGGACTTACTTTTGATATATTTTTATTTGAAAGGCAGAGAGACAAAAAGAGAAGAGAGATGGCGAGCAAGTACTCCCACCCACTAGTTCACACACCAAATGCCCACAACAACCACAGCTTTAGCTAGGCCACTGCCCAGAGCCAGGAACTCAGTGTGGGTGGCAGGAATCCAAAACTTGAGCCATCACCACTGCTTACCAGGTTCTGCATCAGCAGGAAACTGAACTAAGAAGCAGGAGTCAGGCATCAAAGCATGCCACTCTAATAATGGACGCAAGCATCCTACTAACTACTAGGCTAAACAACTGCCCACGTACTGCCATTTTTTTATTAATCATTTTCTGGTCTTTTTTTTTTTTTTTTTTTGCAAGCCATTCTTTTTTCCTTTCTTCCTCTCTTATTTTTGTGATTTTGTGATTTTCTGTAGTGAGAGGCTTTGATTCTTTTCCTGTCTCATTTGTATATTTGCTATTGTTTTTTACTTTGTGGTCACCATGTTTCTTTTTCTTAATATTCAACATGAATAAAGTTTATGGTTTGGATAATATGCAAAATGGCCACAAGGAAGAAGAGATAATACACTTTCCCTTGAAAATGTGCTATTTTTCCTGGAACCAGGAATCATTCATAACGATAAGTGGTTAAAATTCTACTGCCAGAGGGCCAGTGCTGCAGCGTAGCGGGTAAAGATGCCTCCTTGTAGTGCTGGCATCCCATATGGGCACCATTTGAGTCCCAGCTGCTTCACTTCCAATCCAGCTCTCTGCTATGGCCTGGGAAAACAGTAGAAGATGGCCCAAGTCCTTGGGCCCCTGCACATGCATGGGAGACCTGGAAGAAGCTCTTGGCTCCTGGCTTCAGATTAGTGCAGCTCCAGCCATTGTAGCCTTTTGGGGAGTTAACCAGCGGATGGAAGACCTCCCTCCCTCTCTGCCTCTCCTTCTGTGTAACTCTTTCAAATAAATAAATAAATCTTTAAAAAAAAAAATTCAACTGCCAGTGTTAAGCCACTGCATTTTAGGCGACTGCATCCCATATGGGTGCCGGTTTGAGTGCCAGCTGCTCCACTCTGATCCAGCTCCCTGCTAATACACTTAGGAAAACAGCAGAGGTTGGGAAAACAGCAGAGGTTGGCCCAAGTCCTTGGGTCCCTGCACTCATGTGGGAGACCCATAGTCCTGACTTCAGCCTGGGCCAGCCCCAGCTGTTGTGGCTATTTGGGGAGTGAACCAGCAGATGGAAGACCTCTCTCTCTATCTCATCTTCTCTCTGTATCTCTGCCTTTCAAATAAATAAATCTTAAAAAAAAAAAAAGAATTCATCTCCTACCTACATACACATGTAGACTCAGTGTTGTAGATTAAAAGATAGATTAAATATATTTAACAATCAAATGCATGTGAACCTTTGAGATGTATCCTGGTTTTAATAAAACAGCTGTAAAGAACATCTGGGAGATTCTTGGGAGGAATCTTATTACAGATTAGGCTTCAGATACTATTAGAGAAGTAGTGTTTTTGTTCAATGTATTAAATGTATTTATGCAGGAATATATCTGTCTTTTTCAGAGATGCATACAAAAATATTTAGGTATGAAATGTCTTTATGCTATAACCTGTTTTAAAATTTTTCATAAGGAAAATGATCAGCAAAATGGAAAAATGAGGTAATGGATCCATGAGGTCCATTTATTATTCTCATGACTTTGATACATGTTTAATTTTTTTTTAAATGAAGTCACCCTGTACACATATCCTACCTATTACTAGAACTCCAAACTGTGAACTTCTGTAAATATAAGAACTGAAGTAACTCTGTAATTTTAGAGAAACAAAATTAAAACTGTAAGAAAGATATGGGTCAGGCCTGAGGCTAAAAATCATCTGTCCAATCCTCAGTTTAGTTTGCTCATCTATAAAAAATGAGGGTAACTAGGATCTAAATGACCTCTAATGGGCTGCAATTAAACTTCAAAGTCCTCCCCCAGCAGATAAGCCCAGACTGCTCAAGGCCTTCCACTATGGTAAAGAGTACAGGAGGCCAAGGGACCATCCGCATGCATTCACAAGCCCATGATGCCACTTTTTTGTCAGGCCAGCTTGAGCACCTTGCTGGATTTTCGTGAGCTAATTCCTCTCCACGTTGTGTGTCTACCACCACAGCGTCACTGTAAGACTATAATAACAAAAGAGGGAAGAAATGATGATCATCAAGGAGTGCTGTGAACCACATACCTCCATTGGCAACATTAAACTTCACTCCAAACTCTCCCCCAGGGCCTCCAGGGCAGTGGCTGGCTGTTAGGATGATTCCACCAGCTGCCTTTATCTTCCTGATAATGCAGGAAACTGCAGGGGTCGACAAGATGCCATTCTGTCCAATAATCAACCGACCAATCTAGATTGTCCAAGAAAAAAAAGAAGTCAATCCAGTTGCATGGGTTGAAGGTATTTCAGGAAAAAAAAATTAAACCATTGGCATACAATACAGTTAGTCATTTGGCAAAAAGAACTGAGTGCAGCTAGGCTAGGGGATAAGCAACAGCATTGTTTCTCCCACTCAGTGTGCCCCAGACCTCTTGAGGCACCCACTTCTAGTCTTCAATTATTAACCTATGAACAGACTATAACTCACTGGTCTTCAGTAGTTTGAAATATCTACTTTGATGACCAAGGGGTGAGCCTAAACCACACAAGAAGTTCTGAGTTTAGTATTTTTTTAAAGATTTATTTTATTTATTTTACAGACAAAGTTACAGAGAGAGGTAGAAACAGAGAGAGTGTTCTTCCATCTGCTGGTTTACTCTCCAGATGGCCGCAACTGCCGGAGCTGCGCTGATCCGAAGCCAGGAGCTTCTTCTGGGTCTCCCACATGGGTGCAGGGGCTCAAGGACTTGAGCCATCTTCCACTGCATAGCAAGCAGTGTCCTTCAGGGCTGCTTATTGACTTTTTACAAGTTGACTTTGTACCCACAGAACCTGGGCCCTAGGGCCGGCGCCGCGGCTCACTAGGCTAATCCTCAGCCTTGCGGCGCCGGCACACCGGGTTCTAGTCCCGGTCGGGGCACCGGATTCTGTCCCGGTTGCCCCTCTTCCAGGCCAGCTCTCTGCTGTGGCCAGGGAGTGCAGTGGAGGATGGCCCAAGTGCTTGGGCCCTGCACCCCATGGGAGACCAGGATAAGCACCTGGCTCCTGCCTTTGGATCAGCACAATGCGCCGGCCGTGGCAGCCATTGGAGGGTGAACCAACGGCCAAAAGGAGGACCTTTCTCTCTCTCTCTCTCTCTCTCTCACTGTCCACTCTGCCTGTCAAAAAAAAAAAAAAGAAAAAGAAAAAAAAAGAACCTGGCCCCACCTGTGGATGACCTCCAGATTTGTGCTTAACATGACCAGATGATTTCGCCACTGTCCCCAGTGAATGCTGTCAGTGGTAGAAAAGGAGGTCCCTAAGGGTGAGGTTGTAGTAGTTTAGATCCCTAACATGGACATGTACATAGTTTCTGAGTTAATACCAAACTCAGGGGGCCAGCACTGTGGCACAGCGGGTTAACACCCTGGCCTGTAGTGCCACCATCTCAATGGGCGCCGGTTCGAGCCCCAGCTGCTCCACTTCTGATCCAGCTCTCTGCTATGGCCTGGGAAACCAGCAGAAGATGGCCCAAGTCCTTGGGCCCCTGCACCCAAGTGAGAGACCCAGAAAAAGCTCCTGGCCCCCGGCTTCAGATTGGCACAGCTCCAGCAGCTGCAGCCAGTTAGGGAGTGAACCACCCGATGGAAGACCTCTTTTAAATATTTCATTACTCTCATTACTCAGATTGAATCCTAGACTGATTTTATCATAATTTCTGAGGGTAAGATCCAGGTACCAGCAGTCTGTAAAGCTTCAGACTGACTACAATGTCCAGCCAAGACGGAGGTTAAGACCCCTTATTACTCAGAGGACCACTGGCATGGGCATCATCCACAAGTTTGATAAGAACGCAGAATCTCAATGTCCACTCAACATCTGCTGTGAACAAGAATCTGCATTTTAACCAAATCAACTCCTCTCTTCCCAGATAACTCAACGTGAGCAATGCTTATGTGGCTTACAAGCCAGGGCCAGTTCTAGCATTCACTTCAAAGGTAGTTACCCTGGCACCAACATTCCTAGCAGTCCATCACTGGGCAAACAAGAAAATACAAGATGGATACCAAAAGAAGACACATGAGAACAAGCATGGACAGAAAAACAAAGCAGTCTCAGCATGATTTAACACAGAAAGATCAATCCAGGGCAGCATCTCCAGAACACATATTTTCAAGTGGAAGAGACAGATTATAAACATATTAGCATAGTAATTATAATAGTCACTAACAGGGTATGTGTGAGGAAGAAAATAAAATGTTAATAGGGAATAATAAGGCACCAATTTTAACCATTATTACAGCAAAGGGAACTTGGATTTTATTTCATGTACAATGGGAATACATTGAAGTAAAGGTTTTAAGCAGAAGTAACCTGATATCATGCAGATTTTTAAAAACATAGGCTGAACAACCCAAAAAATTCTATTAGAAAGTAAGTTCTATCATGTCATCAAAACATTCCCATGGCTTTTCCTGCCATACACCAACACATAAACTCTTCACCAGGTCTAAGAGGCCCCCCCCATCACCTGCCAGTCTCCACTTCCCTCTCACCCTCCACTCTGGCCACACACACCAAACATGATCCTGCTTCCAGAACTTGGCATTTTTCCTTTCCTCTCCTTAGAACACTCTTACCCAGGTATCCACATACCTGTACCCTCCTGTCCTTTGTGTTTCTGTTCCAACATCACATAATCAAAAGTAATACCCTTGACATCTTATACTTAGATAATGCAGTGCTCCTAAGTTCCTAAATTCTCTATTCTCTATTTCCGTCATAATTTTCTATTTCACATCAAATGCCACCTAATAGTTTCCATATATCTATTTTTACACTGAATATAAGCCCAAAGGCTGTTTTTCGCTGACATATCCCAAGCATCCAAAACAAACATGGCATGTAGTAAGTATACAATAAATACCTGTTAAATTAATTTAAAAGCAAATGAACGGCTGCTATGCAAAAACAGTAATGAGGAGCCAGTGTTGTGTCACAGCCAATTAAGCTGCTGCCAGCAACACCAGTATCCCTCAGCAGAGTGCTGGTTTGAGTCCTGGCTGCTTTGCTTCCAACCCAGCTTCCTATTAATGGACCTGGGAAGGCAACAGAAGATGGCCCAAGTGCTTGGGCCCCTGCCACCATGGAAGAGACCCAGATGGAGTTACTGGCTCCTAGCTTTGGCTTGGTCCAGCCTCAATTGTTAGGACCATTTGGGGAATGAACCAGAAGAGGGAAGATCTCTCTGTTCATCTCTAGCTCTCTGTAATTGCCTTTCAAATACATAAATAAATCTTCTAAAAACAACAGAGTAACAAGAACAGGAAGAAGATCAGATTGAAGACTATCAGAGTTGAGCATTAGTGGTATCTTTGACTAGGCTAGAGGCAGCAGAAATGAACAGAAGTTATTGGACATAAGATATATTTTCAAAAGAGAAGGAACAAAACAAGCATGTAGAATGAGATACCAAATAAAGGAGCAACAGTCACCAGCCTCCAAAATGGTCCCAAAGGTCCTCCCCTCTGGCAGTTGGCCTCCATGCTGTTCCTGAATGGCACAGATCTCAGCGATCAGCGGTAACTTCCTAGTGAGGCCATAAAAGACACTGATGTTCTGCCTTGCCCTGCTGGACTGCTCATTCTGGAAGAGGCCAGCTGCCATGTCATTAAGACACTCAAAAGCCGTGGGGGGGGGGGGGGCAAATGGAGAGGAACCAAGGCTTCCTACCAACTGTCAGCACTGACCTGGCCCTGCCTGGATCCCCCAGCCCATGTCAAGTCTCCATAGGAAAAACCCTACCAACACGCGGCCATGACCTCATGAGAGTACAAGAGCTAGAACAACTCATCCCCTACCTCACAGACACTGTGAGAGACAATAAATACACTGCTGTTTGAAGCCACTCAGCTTTACACAGCAGTAAATATGGACTACAAGAACTCCCAGCTTTCTCCCTTGAATAACTTGATGGGTAGCAGTGCCATTTATCAAGACAGGAAAGACACAGGTTAAATTAATAACACTTACTTTACTACCCATAGACATAATAAATTATTTTCCATATGTTGTTCTCAAAATATATGTATTCATTCAACACATTTTATTAGCTATCATGAAACATAATATAGATGGTCCTGCAGACATAGCAATAAATACAATGTAGCCACTATCCTCAAAAAATAAGTCCTAAGTATCATAAATCTGAAAAATAATTGTCACTTTTTTCATAATTTTCCAGCTACCCCTTTTTCATAATCATTCTTAAATATTTTTAACAGTGAAAAGATATATACATGCAGCTATTTCCTGTAGTACTTTGTATTAAAAATGAATTTTAAAACAAACTTTGTTAATGTCTAGTAATGAAAACCATGTTAAAATGCGATGTATCAGGGCCAGCCCTCTGGAACAGCGGGTAAAGCTGCCACCTTCAGTGCTGGCATCCCACGTGGGCGCCAGTTCAAGTCTTGGCTGCTCCATTTCCGATCCAGCTCCCTGCAAGTGCACCTGTGAAAGCAGTGGAAGATGGTCCAAGTTCTTGACCCCCTGCACCCACATGAGAGACTCAGAAGCTCCTAGATACTGGTTTCAGACTGGCCCAGCTCCAGCCGTTGTGGTAATTTTCTGAGATTCATTCTCTCTCTCTCTCTCTCTCTCTCTCTCTCTCTCTCTCCCCCACCCCACCCCATTCCTCCCTACTTCCCTTTCTGACTCTCTGTAATACTGCCTTTCAAATAAATAAAATCTAAAAAAAGAAGTGTGATGAATCACTTCTATGGAATATTATTAACCCACTTAAATGGAAATTTATGAAGAATGCATTAGCTGTGGAAGACATAGATAGTAGTCCACAGAAATCTACAATTCTTTCCCATAGTACAGACTTCCTACTGGGCAGTAATGGCCCACACAGGGGCTACCTGTTCTTTTAAAATTTTATTTAAGTTTTTACTAGTTTTTAACCAATTCAATATGATTTGTAGATAAAATTCTAAGAACATAGGATATTCCCTTCCTCCTTCCCTCTCTCTCCCCCCTCTCCTCCTACTCATCCTCCTTTATTCTCCCTTTTAGTTTTTGAGATATTTTAAATTCACATTGAAGTAAAAAGGCTTAATACTTCACCAAATAAGTTTAACAAGGGGCTGGCCACTGCAGAGTAGTAGGTTAATCCTCTGCCTGCCAGCACTGGCATCCCATATCAGCAGCAGTTCAAGTGCCTTCTACTCCACCTCCGATCCAGCTCCCTGCTGATGGCCTGGGAAA